ATGCATCACTTTTACCTTTATGGTTAAGGAATATAGCCTCACCAGTGAATTCATTTCTGTCCTGTTGGTCTAGTCAGACAATACAAAGACAGTGATGTATAAGCTATTTGACAAAGTCATGGATTTTTGTCCTTATAAAAATAAAATTCACAGAATTAAAAACAATACTGATTATAGTTTTTATCTTTTCTGCAATTTGTGAATATTAATGGGTAAAGGCAGACATTTTTACATAATGCACCTTGCATGTGGCATGAGTATGCTACAGATGGGAAATGCAAATTTTTGTAATTAGGATCACTATACAAATGCTAAACTTTGCTTAACAAAGTATCATCTATTATTAGATACTGAATTAGTAGTGCAGGAAGAAAACATTCTTTTGCTTGGCGTGTTATAATACATCTTGTGTCATATACATCGAAAACACATTTTGTATGTACGGTATATAATGTTTGCTGGATTTAACTGTAAAATGCAGTATACCTGCCATTTGTATGTGTTTTAGTGCACCAAAACTGGACAGTAAAATATAATTGTTAAACGATTTTTGCATTTCTAGGCTGCAATAGTATGTTAAGCACAAAGGAATCTGCTGAAAGTAACTGAATAACAAAAGCTGCTGCTCACCCTTGTGGAACAGAGGATTTAAAATTCTGGGCACAGTAATGTAGTATTGTAGTAAAGTAACCATGCTAAAATAATGTTTCATTTTTTGCTTAGATTTCTAAATACCCTGCCTTGCTTATGCAGACGGTCTGCAGCAACAGAGACCTGTGGACCCCCCCCAGCCTGCCCCTCCTCCCCTCTCTCACAGCTTTCCCAGGAAACCTGTTCTCATCAAAATGACTGAGACCAAGGATGACTGGATGACCTCTGAGAAGCCACAATACTAGCCATTCCCAAAGTGACTGTCTCCGGTTCTCAGTTAATCACTGTGAGGAGGAAGTCTGACTCATTTTCTCATTTCTGGGATTTATATGCACACTTTCTCCCTTAATTTCATTTCTTTTTCTCTGTCAATCATAGACATGGGCATAGATCGCCCATTATCCAGATTTTCCAAGTGGTGTTCAATCTTAATGGTAAGATTCCAAGGACTACACTATACAGTTCCTAAAACACTTAGAAATTAATCTAAGAGCTGCCTAATGTTGTTAAACATGTCAATGTTTGACATTGAATGTCAAATTTCAATCTTGCATTTAACTTTCTTATGTATAAATACTCCATTGTAGCAGCCTCCCTGGCTCATTCCTTGCAGGTGTGGAAGATTTTGTCAACCTTGACCTTAGTGTTAATGCCAAATGCCAAAAAGTTTATATTCTCTCTCTTGTCTCATTAATTATAATTTAACTGAACTAGTGAAATTTTAATAGATATACAGTACCAGTCATATTTCTACTAGAATTAAGGCATCTACTGTGATATTCTACATATAACATTCTGGCTTATAGTTGATACCTTTTCTACTAGAATGGTACTTTCTTTTTGTTTTTATGTTATGGTTATTTTGGGTTTTTTTTCTCGGGAGCTGTTTCAAGTCTGTTAAGTTGGAGATTTTTTCACCTGGTGGTAGTTTTTAAATCAAATGAAATACTCGACTATTGAATCACATTACAGTAACAATAATTTCAGGAGAATGCTTAACATTATGAGTAAAACATTGTTATTGTAAAAAAAATGAATAAATGATTAAATTTGTGCATTTACAATATTTACTGTGAAAGTGACTTGTACATTATAACAAGTTAATGCTGATTGAGAATTTATTAATCATTTTAAATTGGAAGAGCAAGGATGTGAAAAAAAGAATAGTTGATTTAGAATCTAAATAACAGCTATGAAAGTAAGATAAATAATATTAAATCATATTTCCTTGTTTATGGGTCGAGGGAGCAGTCATAAATTCTTATTATATGGCAAATGACTGGGTGTTAGGTAAGAATGCTTTGAATGTCAAAGAAATTAATGGAAAGTCCTTTTTGTATACTTTTGCATACTTTATTATACAATTATTTGAAATTGATTTCTGTGTTTTTTATTATTTTTGTGCTCACATGATTTGAAAGAATGAAGTCCAGCAGGATCTCTCCTCTGTAACCTACCAGTCAGAACCCTTCATATTGTAACTTATACGGCCACCATTGCAGGTTGTTCAAGCCGGCTTACCAGCACGGTAACGTTACTGCCCTTCGCTGTGAATAGCAGGGACCTCAGC